CGACGCCATCTGTTTTTTGGCTTGTATTTTTTTTTAAACTGCTAACACCAAAGGCTAAACTCTTAAATGATACAGTAAAGCTAGCAAATCACGCATCACTCATAATTTTCTGCTAAAGTAATTTGACACAGCTGAATACATTCAAGTCAAATGTTAACAGGTGCTTAGACCAAAGGTTTCACGTGTACATTCTGCAAATTAATAAAAAAGGTCAGTGGAGCTAATGTTTGAAATTTATCTAACATATTACCATGAAAAGAATAATAATGATCTTTAAAGTGGAGGTATTATTTTCAAGCATTTCAAAATTTACAGTATTAATTTATTTTTTCTTTTAGGAAAAGCTGTAATAAGTTTTGCTTGAATTAATTTCTCCTCATTCAAACACAGTGTGCTTTAATGTGTGGAAACACTTTAAAAGTATCTAGTTTTTTCTTTTCTTAAATAGTGCATTTTTCTTTATTTTTAATTTTGGGTTTCAAATCAACACAGTGAGAAAATTGTGTGTGTTAGCTATCATTCAAAGTGCAGTCATGGTGACTTGGAAAACATTTGTTTAGTGCAGGTTTCACATTTCCTGCTCCGGAGTGAAGGCGGTTCGGGTGTAACTGCTGCACACGAGGCTGCAGAGTGGGAGGTCCGACTGCATCTCATTGACTTCCTTTTGATCTGATGCTTTCCAACCCTTCAAACCTCTTCATTTCACAAATAAATTCAAATAAAATCAGGTTTTTGCTTTTTATTTATATATATATATATATATATATATATATATATATATATATATATATACTTTTTTGTTAGTTTACTCAGCTTTTCTGTCTCCAAGCCTGAAATTTAATTTGTTGGAGTGAAACTGGACTCATAAAGTAATTACTGGCTGTACCTCTAAAACTCATTAACATTTGAAATCAAATTAAGATGGCTGCTGCAGCGAGTCAGTCAACACAAAAATGGTTTGAACTCAGTCAGTTTTCCAGATTATGAGCTAAAGTTTATGTGATAGAAGCTGTGAGTCATTTCAAACACATTCTCTGAGCCCTAATGCATCGTACGAGAGCTCACATGAGACCAAGCACAACGACATTTACAAGTTATGAACAAAACAGTTAAAACGCTGCTCCGTCTCAGCATGGGATGGTTTTAGTTTCAAAGTCTAGCGTGAAAAGCTGCGGGGGTTATGCATTCCTTTAATGCATTACTCGTGGCAGCTCTTGATATGAAGCCAGAAAAAAGTGACATTTTGTTAAAATGTTGTTTAACTTTTAATAGTTTATTTACAGTATTTAACATGCTCTGACAGAAAAAGCAAATGCTAAATAAATTAGTATGAGTTGTAGTAAAGTTAAGGCTGAGAGGAATATAAATTCATAAATCACGTTAAAAAAAAATCATATTTGATACATCCACTTTTCAAGTCGACACTCCCACTGATTTTGTCACTACACAATCCTGTCTGTAACGTGCCAGATGGAGACGTGCCCTCTACTTCCTTTTTTTGATGGGAACGCTACTGTGATGAAGTCTAGTTGTTAAACTGGATTTATTTCCAAGTATTTGATTAACACCCACTCACATACATGCCAATAAATTTAGCTGGACATATATAAATGGGGAGTGGTGGCGCAGAGGTTAGAGAGGTGGGCTTGTGATCCGAAGATCGCCGGTTCACGCCCCGGCCCCGACAACATCAAAAATTGTGGGTGGGGTAGGTGAAACACCCACACTTGCCCCCACCCTCATTCGCCCCACTCTGGGCCCATGAGCAAGGCCCTTAACCCCACCATGTGCTCCCTAAAAAAAAACAGGTCTCTCTTGAAAATGAGTTCTCGTGGCTCAATGAGACTAACCTGGATAAATAAAGGCTAAATGAAAAATGAAAAAAAATAAATAAATGTAAATCGTTTACTGTTTAAGCAAATTTTAAAAAGTGAAACTGAACCTTTTTGTTTTACATGTAACGCTGCACTCTAACATCCACAATCTGACACTTATAGTCATAATTTATGTTAGTTTGTGGAATGGTTTTATATGTTTGAGAGGTTTATTTGGCATCATAGCAAAACAATTCAATAGTGACCGTGTAGCTTTTAAAAACTGAAGCTCACAAAGAAATCCCTCAGAGTACACTGATGACTTAAACACATTTAAACAAGCCAAATTACGTTTTTTTCATCAAACAGTGCTTATGAATAATTTGTCACTAAAATACATGACGATAAAACATGAATTTATAAGCTAAAACTTCTGAACAGGTTGTGAATGGCTGTTAGTCTGGAATAGGTTTTAGAATAGAGAAAAATTAATAAATAAATAATTTTACTGTACCGTATAGTTAAAATTAATACATTTTTTTTTGTGAATGAGCATGTAAGAGGGTTTAAAAAAAAGGCCAGACTCCTGTTTCTACAAAGACTTTTGTCTACTACAGGTAATGTACTAACTACCAATACCTGCTCCACATAACCCCATTTCAAATAATCCAAACTAATTCTTAAAGTTTGTTTGCATTTAGTTCCTTTAATTTCAGAGAATATCATACACTGCTTTGGCTCAGTCTCCACAAATGTTCAGTGTTTTTTTTTAAAGATTTTCTTTTTTTATTTTATACTTTCTAACAAAATAAGCCATGGGATGAAATTGTTTTAAAGGAAAAACAACTGAATAAGAAAATTTAAGATTTATTAATCATATGCTTATAAGTCTGGGACTACTGGAATTTACTGAAATAATATCACCAGCTGCCATGAAAGGCAGGTGATCATGCAATAGTCCGTTTGAGCATTTGTCTGTCTGTTTGGAAAATATTTCAAGATGGATAGGATATTTAAGAAATTCTCAGAAAGTAATCACTGAACACACTTCTACAACTAACTGTTAAAGTTAACCCAATTAAAGAAGGTGATCAGTTTTAGCAAACATGAAAAATGTCTTTAACTTAAAATAATTTACAGATAATGAGCTCAAATTGAGTACGGAAGTAGCTGAGAGTTATACCTGAACAAGTACTCCGACTGAAAACAGGGTGCATGAGATTTTTGTTTCTTACTTTGTCAGGAAAGGTGGTGAATGATATGCAGTTCATCAAGAATTGCGGTGGGGTTATATGGAGACATCATCACTGACATCATTCATTCAGACTTATTCCACCTCAAGCTGGTGCTAAATGCTGATAAAACCAAAGGGATATTTTTTTCCAACAGAAAGTCGGTGCCAGCAACTTTTCCTCCTATCTCATCCATGCACGGTGTTCCTATTGAGTTTGTAGATTCTTACAAATACTTAGAAATGTTGGTTGATGCACATCTCTCTTTTAAACCACATACTAAAAACTTGATAAAAAAAAAAAAGAAATTAGAATTGGATTTCTTTTTCAGAAATAGATCGTACTTAACTCTGAATGCCAGAAAACGCCTTGTAACTGCTACCTTCCTATCGGCCATTGACTGTGGTGACATTATTTACATGAATGCTCCTGCCAGCTCCTTGCGGATGTTGGATGCTGTCTACCATGGTTAAGAATCATTACTGGTTGTAACTACTACCCATCACTGCACTCTGTACTCATTGGTCAGTTGGTCATCATTATCTACACATAGGCTCTCTCACTGGTTCATTTTCATCTATAAATCCCTCCTTGGTCTGATACCTTCTTATATCTCCTCTCACATGTCACGTCGTCAGTGCAGTTACAGCGTGCGCTCTCAAACCATCATTACCTGCAGCGTTCCCTCAGTGCAGACTGAACTTGGCAAAAAGGCCTTTTCCTACTCAACTCCTGGAACCTGGAGCACCTTGCAACAGGAACTGAAGTTGTTCTCCTTGATTTCTTTACGGGGTTTCAAACATTTGATGTCAATAGAAAAATCAAAGCAAATACTGTTTTTAGTATTTCACCGTTTTACGGCACCCTGATTTGTTGTTTTATAGACTACTCTAATTTTTACTGCATTTTTACAGTAGTGTATTATTGTCTGTACTTTATATGTTCTGTCTGGAACAGGTCCCTCTTGTAAATGAGTCCTCGTGGCTCAAAGAAGCTAGCCTGTATAAATAAAGGTTGAATGAAAAAATCAAAACAGGGTTTTGTATGCACACTTTTCAGGAACAGTTCATTACAACGGTGCAAAAATAGTCAGATTTTGTTTGTTTTATTTCACTCCTTTTGGTTTTTGTAGCTTGCTGATGCTTATTAAACTTTAAATTCTACACCAGGGTAATAAAATCTATCCATATTGAGCAATTTGATTCAAAAGTTGAACATTTGCTAAGCTGCATAACTTTTAATAAGACAATAAAAAAATAAGAAAACAATTTTTTTCTGCAGAATAATATTAAATCTACTGATAATTAAAACAAAATGAATTAAAAAGTGGGGACAGCGTGGTGTTTTTCGCTTATCTTTGGACATTTTCTTCAAGGTTCTTTTTCCTTCAAATCAGTTTGAAGAAGTCAATAATTCCCACTCCTATTTTTTTAGATGCCTGCACTAATTATCTCATTTTGCATTGAAATAAGTTTAAGGAAACCATGAAAGCTACAGGAACAAAACTGTTAACAAAGAATGTGTGTGTTTGTGCCATGCAATTAATAAAACCTTACAAACACAAACAAACAAAGTGATACGACACAGATGAATACACACGCCTATATTGTTAAGTTAAGCCGGATAATGGAAGACTAATTCAGGTGGCGATATAACTTTTCTCCAAGACTCGAGGGGAGAAAGTAAAGGAGTGTATAAAAAAGGCTAAGTGATCTGCAAAAGTTTAAAAAGATATTTTCTGTAGCTGCCTAGAGCAATACTATGTTTTCAGTCAAGACACATAAAAAAAGATACTCGGCCTGTCGCTCTTAGGCCTGAAAGTGCTGAAATCATCTTTGGATGATCCCGTTAATACTTTCTGTTCCGCAATAAAGGGACATGGGACACAGCCATCAAAAGGAGCCCCTTGTCTCCAGATATGACTTTGAAATTAATATTTGAATGAAATGGTCCTTTAAGAGTCTGAAATGAGGGCAGGAGTTGGGTTGCGGGGCTCAGATGAGGGAAATCCGTATAGGAATGGTGGGAGAGTCAGTCCTGTGCAGAGGGGAATGATGGGACACAACATGCTCCACCATGGCGTGTTTGGACATGTGCTTCATGAGATACGTCTCCTGGAGAGAGCAAGAGAAAAACAAAACTTGTATATTCCACAGCTGAGGCTCATTACAGTGTAACAAACAGGAGGACAAGAAGGGGCCGACTCACTGAGGTGTACGCCCGGCCGCACATGCTGCAGCAGAAGGCCTTGGCGTTTTTGATGGCGTGTGCAGACAGGTGGATCTGCAGCGAGGCCGAGTCTGAATAGGCACGGAAACAGTTGGAGCATTTGAAGGGTTTGTCTTTGTTGTGCTGCCTCTGATGAGACTTTTGAAAAGAAAAAGGATGAGACGGTCATCGGTGCGTTTTCAAAGACAAGCCCGACACACGCATTACTCCGTGTCAGCTGCTTCAACAAAACAAAGTCATCGGTAGTGGGCACCATAATTGTGTTTATGGTTTTAACCATCTGGTTGAAGGCTTTTATGATCTGTGCGTCACTCTTTAGAAGTGGGCGACTGGTGGAACATTTAGTCTTTTTTTCCAGACAATTTACAACAATCATCTGCCACTGAAGTCAATAAGAGAAAGTCTGAAAACAATTAAAACAAACTTTGTGTTTCTGAAAACAATTGTTTTATATCTTAATAATAAAAAATCTCTATTTTTTTCCCCACACCAGCCAGCAGATGACACGATGATGAGTTCACGTCTTGATGTTGTGGATCAGTGCCAGTGTTTTGGTGTTGACTTTGAATCAAATCTTAGATTTTACATTACAATTGTAATAAAATTCAATTTGACATATTTTTTTTGTGATATTATACCTTTTCTTACACTTCAGTCAGCAAAACCTGGCAACGTACGCAAAACATTTTTTCTCACAAATCATATTATTTTAAGACCTGGTCATACATGACATCAAATGTGCTAAAACCTATCAAGTCTCTTCAAGAAGATATGTAAAATTTTGGTCAGACAACATTTTCATGCTCACTATTGCACTATCATCAATAAGAGTATTGCTTTAGGCTTTAGAAATTAGCAAATGTTTAGTTACCTATGTCTTGTTTTTAAGGATTTAAATGGGCCTCCCTACAGTTAAATTATTTTATTTATGTTATAATAAACACCAGAGCTCAAACTGGAAGGGGCTGTGCTACAGCAAGACAAACAGGGGTGTCAATTTGAGGAATACATTCATGGAATAAATTACCAGACATGTCAGATGTATTGTTTTTGTACTATTAGTGTTTAGCGTATTCTTAGTGCATATCTTAGATCTTATTACTGTTTTTCTGTTACAATTTATACTTTTGTTGGATGTAGCTGCGCACCAATTTCGTTCCACCACATGCACCACATGTGATGCGAATGACAATAAAGAAGCCTTGACCTTGAGACCATGGCAATCATTACATTTTTTTAAAAAGAAATAAACTCTAGCTAAAAACAAACCAGTCATGTACACAGTTATAAATATTCTCATTTTACCTGGGTAACTTATAGAGTTTGATGCCTACTGTGTTTTGATTTATGGATTATTTCTTCAAGCTCCAAGGTTGATCAAAGTGCTATCCACAACAGGTACGATGTTCTTTATTCAAATCTTTTCTTCAGAACTCCACTTCTGGACTAGCTTTTAGTACGAGTCAGAGTTAACTTGAAAATCAGAATGAAAACATTGTGCCGCTCCATGCAGAGGAGGCTGTTTGTTAGTTACCATGGCAACTGCAGAGGTGGCTGTCAGTGAACTAGAACGTGTTGTAAATAAATAAAAAAATTAACGTCTGGGTTATAATGTTCACTGAAGTCACCAAGTTTCAGTCTAATTTTGTTTTCTGAATTTTAATAAGGAAAAGTGTTTTGTTTTTTTCAACTGTTCATTTAAATCTAAAATATAAAGCACAACCTATTTTTGGGCAGGTGAAATGCTCAGTTTAAGTACTGACAAAGATCTAGCTACGTTAAAGGACAGTGATGTTAAACACTCCACCCTCCGGCTCAGTTTACTTTTTCAGCCCACGTGTTTCTCAGCTATGACCTTTCAGGGTGGGGTTAAAAGCAGCAGAGGGTAAAGAAAACAGCTCGTGTTTACCTGCAGATTAGACAGTTGGGTAAAAGCTTTTTCACATCCAGGATGGGCACATCTGTATGGCCGCTCACCTGTGTGGATTCTGCAACAAGACAAATGAGCCAGACCAAACAAGTCAGAGAGGAAGCTGAAAAACAAACCCATTGAGGTAACACCACAAGCTGAGCTGCAGCCATGAAACATTTTACTGCACAAACTTCTCAAATGCTTCAGAATTATTAGCTTATTTACTTTGTTTGTCATTTGAAATCCTTTTTCTGTTTTATAACAAATACATGTTGTGTGATTTAACAAGTCAAATTATTCTTAATAATCTCATATTTCTTTATCAGATTAAAAACAAAGCTAACTTTACTGCACAGGTTCAACACTTCTCAGTGAAATAAATGGCGTTGGGCAATCTGATTTTGTTAGCTTAGCTCATTATGAAACAGTAAATTACTGGGTGTTGTTACAATAAACTGAATCAGCCTATGCTCATCACAGGAGACAACAGGGTTCTGTGTCGACGTCAAACATCTGACCTGGTGTGCTGCTGCACGTGGGACAACTGGCGAAAGCATCTCTCGCAGTAGGAGCAGCGATACGGTTTGATGCCCAGGTGGATGCGCAGGTGCTGGGCCAGGTAGGCTGCGTTGGCGAAGGTCTTGGTGCAGTGAGGACACTTGTGAGCCTTCGCCTCCGTGTGCGTCTTGGAGTGAATTTGCATGTCAGATTTGGAGAAGAAGGTCAGCGGACAAACTTTACACCTGGGATGAGAAAATAGTGACGCAGATGGAAGAATAAGTATTACAAAGAATGCACTGCTGATGAAGTGCGTGAAACAAAAATTCAGTACTTGCCGTTCATTTAATATACACTAGTCCCTCGCTACTTTGCGGTTCGTTTATCGCGGACTCGCTCTATCGTGGTTTTTCTAAATAAGATTGGCCATAACACACAACTGGCTGATGGATGGATGAGCCCCACGATCGGAATGGAATGTTTATTTAAAATAAATTACTTAAAATTATTTAGCACCTGCTGCACATTTGTGCAGCCCAGAGCTGCAGGATAAACTTCCTGCTGCGTGCAAAGCGGAGAAGTGGGTGTGGCCAAGAACGCTTGCAGGTGGCAAAGAGCAGAGGAGGAAGAGAGCTGAAATCATGACATTCTGTGCTCTTTTAGAGCATTTAGAGTTTAGAAACATTTAGAATATTGCAAGAGTGTGGGGAGGGTTCAAAATGCCTTCATATATATATATATATATATATATACACAGTGAGGAAAATAAGTATTTGAACACCCTGCAACTTTGCAAGTTATCCCACTTAGAAATCATGGAGGGGATGGAAAATTTAATCCTAGGCGAATGTCCACTGTGAGAGACATAATCTAAAAAAAAAAAATCGGAAATAACACTGTATGATTTTTTTAATAATTTATTTGTGTGTTACTGCTGCAAATAAGTATTTGAACGCCTGTGAAAATCAATGTTAATATTTGGTACAGTAGCCTTTGTTTGCAATTACAGAGATCAAATGTTTCCTGTAGTTTTTCACCAGGTTTGCACACACTGCAGCAGAGATTTTGGCCCATTCCTCCACACAGATCTTCTCTAGATCAGCCAGGTTTCTGGGCTGTCGCTGAGAAACACAGAGTTTGAGCTCCCTCCAAATATTTTCTACAAGGTTTAGGTCTGGAGACTGGCTAGGCCACTCCAGAACCTTGATATACTTCTTACGGAGCCACTCCTTGGTGATCCTGGCTGTGTGCTTCAGGTCATTGTCATGTTGGAAGACCCAGCCACCACCCATCTTCAATGCTCTAATTGAGGGAAGGAGGTTGTTCCCCAAAATCTCGCAATATATGGCCCCGGTCATCCTCTCATTAATACAGTGCAGTCGTCCTGCCCCATGTGCAGAAAAACACCCTCAAAGCAAGATGCTTCCACCCCCATGCTTCACGGTAGGGATGGTGTTTGGGGGATGGTACTCATCATTCTTCGTCCTATTTTGGTCGCATCTGACCACATAACTTTCTCCCATGACTCCTCTGGATCATCCAAATGGTTGTGGTCAAACTTAAGACGGGCCTGGACGTGTGCTGATTTAAGCAGGGGAACCTTCCGTGCCATGCATGATTTTAAACTATGACATCTTGGTGTGTTACCCACAGTAACCTTGGAAACAGTGGTGCCAGCTCTCTTCAGATCATTGACCAGTTCCTCACATGTAGTTCTGGGCTGATTCCTCACCTTTCTTAGGATCATTGATACGCCACGAGGTGAGATCTTGCATGGAGCCCTAGTCCGAGGGAGATTGACAGTCATGTTTAGCTTCTTCTATTTTCTAATAACTGCTCCAACAGTTGATCTTTTTTCACCAAGCTGCTTGGCAATTGCCCTGTAGCCCTTTCCAGTCTTGTGGAGGTCTACAATTTTGGCTCTGGTGTCTTTGGACAGCTCTTTGGTCTTAGCCATGTTAGTAGTTGGAGTCTTACTGATTATGTGGGTGGACTGGTGTCTTTATGCAGCTACCGACCTCAAACAGGTGCTTCTAATTTAGAATAATAAGTGGAGTGGAGGTGGACTTTTTAGAGGCGGACTAACAGGTCTTTGAGGGACAGAACTGTTGCTGATCGTCAGGGGTTCAAATACTTATTTGCAGCAATAACACACAAATAAATTATTTTAAAAAAATCATACATTGTGATTTCCAGATCTTTTTTTTTTTTTTAAAGATTATGTCTCTCACAGTGGACATGCACCTAAGATGAAAATTTCAGAACCCTCCATGACCCTGATTGTGCGAGGGGTCTACTACAAGTGGGGGAACTTGCACCCTTTAACAGGTATTTACGCTAACGTAACCTGAACTGGCCTCACCTCAAACATATAAACATGAGTCCTTGTAGTGAACTTAATTCCTGTCCCTTGACGAAAAACACAAAAAATCCGTAATTTAAATACGATTCTGTAATGTTTATTTTCAGTTTGAATTATGACATGGAAATTATAGGAAATATTGAGTATTAATGAACAACCAATAGTATTATTTTAGAAAGTAAATGACATAAATCTGGAGACTTTGAGAAGGAGTTTTGATTCAATTTGGACTAAGGTTCTTAGGTCTTAACGTTAAAATTCAGTTCAGTTAATCTCAGATTTGTGAATTAAATTATCTAAACAGAGTCGGCACATAGAGTGGTTCTCTCATCATAAGGAAGACGTCCATTACTCCTTACCACAGCGGATGCATGAAGGAAGCCGGTGGCCCGCTGTTCCCCAAGAAGGATGTTGTTTCTCAGGGCTACAGTCCATTAGGCTCATACCTTTCACTCCAGGGTGTTTGAGAGGTTTATATATATAT